TCTTCTTCTTTCTTACTTCTTCTTCTTCTTCTACTCCTCTCTCACCTCTCAAGTTCATTCATTTCTTTCTGCAATTGGATGGCATTGTACTTTCCAGTGGATGTGTATCTCGAAATTGGCCAGGGTCATAACATTGGTATCAGAGCGGATTCTACTTGCTGGTGAGAGTTGACTTGCTGCCCTAACCCTAACCTAAGTGGTTGAGGGCAACACTTAGGGTTGGGGCTGGTTGGTGAAGGGAAGTGGGGCAGCGTGGAGCGTGGCTGAGGGAAGCTGCCCCCACCTGGTTAGGTCATGTGGGGTCAACATAGATCCTAACCAGGTTGCTTGAGAGTGAGATTAGGGTGGCGAGACCGAGGAGACTTCATGCGGCGATTTGAAAGAGGCGACAGTGAGAGGCACTCACACCTGGAATCTGATTCAAGGGAGACACTTGGCAACTTAAGGGCTGCCCTCAAGTAGGCGAGCTTGAGGGCCAGCGGCCATTCTACATCAACGGACTGCAAGTTGCTACTTTGATCTTCAGCATCGACGGGGGATCCGGCGTTGCACTTGGGTGTTGGAGTCAGACCCTCCTAGGAGATAGGACACTAGTGTAGGGGTAGCGTTAGAGGGGTCAGGAGGAGCACATGAGAAGGGGGGTGAGTTCTATTCATCTCGAAGCTCAAGGCCACTCAGGTAAGTGTCGTGCGCCTACGGGATGCCCATGTATATGTGTATGGTATTGATTGTCCTGCTGGGGTACTCTGGGTTTCTTTTCTTACTCCTCTGTGGTCTTGATTGTGTGATTGAATGCATGTGATCTACCCACTCACCTGATGGATGGAAAATGAAGTATCTTGACCTACATGCCGAATCTTTCTACAACGCTTTGTCCTTTCATCTTTGAACGGTTGTAGTATGTAGGTTGCCAGAAGTTGAAATTTCGTTTTTCAGTGCAGTAGAGACTAAACTAAGTTCAGGTGGAACTCCTCTTGGTTGGGACCTGGTTGAGACCTACGTGGGACCCTTGAGACCCAGCGGGACCCTGGGGACCCAGCGGGACCGGGCCCAAACAAGAAGAGCCTCTGGACCCAAATCGCTTAGGCATTGACCTCTTGTCTTCTTGGCTAGGATACGAGTTCATTCTTCTTGGATTAGGACACCCACTACCGAGGGATCTTGGCTGAGACGTTTCGCATGTCTTCTGATTGCACTGTCCGTGGCTTGACTCGCACCCTATACACCACTCAATTCTTCATTGTTGCATTTAGTTACTCGTTGTCTGATTTGCTGTACGGTCACGGAGCTGGTCAGACTGGACTCGAGAGGACGTCGTACGCAGTCTGATCAGACTGGGTCGCTCGATCAGACCTCTCATTGAGATTGTTTGTTTCTTCTGCTGCTCTCTACTTCCAAATGAAATGCCGCTCCGGCTAGGATTTCTACCTTCTCTTCTCTGAGCTTTTCGGTCTTTTTCTGACTTCATTTCCGATGCCCGTGGAGACTCGCAACTTGAAAGAGGAGAGAGAGAGGAGGGAGAGAGAACAAGGAGAGAGGGAAAGTAATCGTCTGATGTGGGTTAGAACTGGGAAAAAGAGTGTTCGTCCAAGCGGGAGGGGGAGTGAACGTCTTGAGAGTCTAATTGATTCTTTTGCTGATTGGCGACTCTCTGACCCACCTATCCATACTGACAATGCAATAATGGCTCAGCTAACTTCAGTTTAGTGGCGGGCCTTGTTAGATGCAGCCAGTGATGCTGAGAAACCTTATCTGCAAGCACTCTTAGATAGTGCAATCAAAAGGGAACAGGAGACAGAGAAGGAGAGAAAGGAGACCTTGCTGAAAAGGCAAGTGGCCCTCCTAGAGACTGTTCCCTCACTAACTGAAGAGCAGTGTGGGGAACAACTGCAGTCCATACTTACAGCCTTTGTTCAAGTCAGGAATCTTGAGGACCATACCACTCAGATCGCTGAAGTCTTTGCAAAGTTGCAGACACTTCAAGATGATCTGACTGATATGACCCACAAGTACCATGAATTGACAAAGGAGGTGGTTGACCTGCGACAAGCCCAAGTGGCCAACCCTCTTCCTCTACCCCCTGGACCTGAAGCTGCAATCGAAACTACTTCTGCCCCTCTTACTGTATCTTCTTCCTCGAATGTGTTGGCAACCCCCTGGGGACCTGCAACAGGTGCAGATTCCGCTGTTGCTGTAACAAGCAATGAAGCTGGAACTTCTGCCACTGCTGCAGTCCCAAGAGTGGAACCAGCTGTTGCTGGTCCCAGCCACGCTGGTCCCTATGTGGACCTGAAAGCGGTACAGATACCCTCTAAGTACGACGGCAAGGAAGACATTGAGTCCTAGATCGGCTCCATGAGGGCCTACTTTGAGATTCTGGGGACTCAACCTGAGACCCAGGCAGTGATCATGGGAATGAACGTCGAGCCGGTCGTACGGGGCTTCCTGGAAGTCCAAGCGACACGGGCTGGGTTCCAAAAGACTGCACTAGCCAAATGGCTTAAGACCACCCCAGTTGCCTCCCTCGAGGATCTCCTTATCTCACAATATCAGGATCCACATGCTGCGGCTAGAGCAAGAATCCAACTTGACAAAGTCAAGCGCAGCAAGTGGACAGGCTCCATGAAAAGCCTGCAAACCTATCTTAGCAAGATGTTCGCTACTCCTGGTTTGGAATTGTCTGCTCAATCTTGCTTCGATGTGGTTAAGGGCGCGGTTCCAACTAACTTCACCAATCGCCTGGGCAGGGACTACATTGCATGCACTGACTGACTCACCTTAATGAAGGACATAGTCAGTTTGGAGGTTGTAGACCTCGTTAGCACGACAGGCAACAAAAAGCCCATGGGCGGCAGACGGTTCCAGGGCAGCAACCGTTTTGTTGTGCATGACCTGCTGGAGGCCAAAGAAGAAGCCGATGCGGGTGACCCCACTCTTGGTGACGACCAAGAACAGGACTCCGATACAGCTTGTTCTTCAGCCCATGAGTCCGATGCAAATAAAGAGGAAGAATTTTTTTTTGCATTTAAAAAGACTGTCAGTACTAAGGGGCCGAATCGGAGTGTCAGGAAAAGTTATGTCCAACTTCCCAAAGGAGTCAAGATCCCGCCTAAGCCGGAGGATGCAACTACCAAACCCTGGGTTGACCTCCGGATCACTGAGAATGACTGGCGGGGTAGACTCAAGAAAGGGGTTTGTCTGCATTGCCAGAAACCAAATCATAAGGTTCAGGACTGTTATAGGCTGCAGGGAAACCAGAATCGGGCGTAGAGTTAGTTTCAACAAACTCTACAGCAGGGGAGTCCGGTTCTGTTGAAAATCAGCAGCCCTCCCTTGAAGCCCAACCATCTGCTGAAGACAAGGCTGAGGTAAGTAATGTCTTGTATGTCGAGCCTTGGGAGGAGTCTGAGATGGTTGACTTCCACTACCACTTGGAGCATTGGGCTGAGATGAAACAACAGTGTGCCCAAGGGACAGTGAAGTTGATCTTCTTTAAACTTCTCATAAACCACCGCTATCTCTGTGTGTTGGTTGACTGTGGTGCTACAGCTAACTTCGTGTCACCACATGGGATACGCAAGGTGAGCTTGGGAATGAAGCAAGTGGCCCTGCAGAACCCTTGCCGGACCCAAGTTGGAAACAAGAAAGTTGTCTCTTCTACGCATGCAGTCAAAGGTGTGCGCACTACCTTTGACAGGGGCAAGACTGTCACCCACGCATTGAACTTCTTTGTCCTTAACAAGTGCCCCTTCGACGTTGTCCTTGGCTTGGGATGGCTACAGCCCCAATGCGAATGGACCAAGTGGAAGGAATCACTCTTCATGGTCAAAGATGCTCATGGGAACGAGCTTCCTGTCGTCTTGGATGAGAAGCGCGAATCCCCAGTGACTTTTTTGAATGCTATGCAGTTCTGCAAGAAATGGCGCAAGCACAAGGAGGAAGAACAGTTGTATGTTGCCTTTGTTCGTCTTGCCCATGTGCCATCCACTTTTGCGGTTAATACCACTACTGCTTTGATTGATGATCCTACTTCTGGTACTTCTATTTCTAGCACCTCTATCCCTCTACCCTCTAATAGTCCAAATGATCCTACTTCAGATTCGGTCGTCTCTATACGCGACTTGCGACCGGATCTTGGTGATCCCTTTGCTGATTCCCCACCCCCACCTGTCCCATCAGACATCCAAACCCTCCTCGATCGGTTTCCGGAAGTCCTGGCCGAGCCACGTGGAGTCCCCACGCGACCGGTTCGACACACCATCGAGTTGGTCGAGGGTGTTGTTCCTCCAAAGGGCTGCGTGTACCGTATGGGACCCGACGAGTCTGGAGGAACTCCGGCGACAGATCAATGAGATGATTGACAAATGGTGGATCAAACCTAATGAATCTGAATTTGGTGTTCCTGTGTTGTTTGTCCCAAAGAAAGGAGGCAAACTCCGCATGTGTATTGACTATCACGGTCTAAACCGCATTACAAGAAAGAACACCTATCCATTACCCCGCATAGACGATTTGCTTGATGCCGCAGGTGGGTGCAAGGTCTTCTCCAAGATCGATCTCAAGTCTGGCTACCACCAGATTGAAGTCGATCCTGCGGACCAGCACAAGACTGCGTTCAAAACACACGACGGGCTTTATGAGTTCACCGTAATGCCCTTCGGTCTCACGAACGCACCAGCCACTTTTCAAAGCCTCATGGACAAGATCCTCCGCGAACAGATTGGCCGGTTCGTGGTAGTCTACCTTGATGATATCCTGATCTTCAGCAAGTCCATGGAGGAACATCTCAAGCATCTTGAGGAAGTGCTCACTATCCTCAAGAAGACGCAACTCCTTCTCAACTTAGAGAAATCTGAGTTTGGGAGGGACAGCGTCATCTATCTTGGGCATCGGTTGTCTGCTGCAGGCCTAGAGCCTGAGGCAACCAAGGTTGAGGTTATACGCAATTGGCCTCAACCCGCGAACATTCGCGAATTGCGTTCTTTCCTTGGCCTCACGTCCTACTATCGAAAGTTTGTACCCCGCTTTTCTATCATTGCTCGTCCATTGTCGCGACTGACTAGTAAGAATGTTCTTTATTCTTGGGACACCGCGTGTACGGATGCATTTCGAGCTCTAAAGGAAGCCTTGGTAAGTTACCCAGTACTCCGCATTGCAGATCCCAAACTGACGTTCGTGGTCACCATGGATGCAAACCAGTACGGAATCGGTGCGGTGCTGCAGCAAGATGACGGCGACGGCTTGCGGCCACTCAAATATTACAGCAAACGCATGCCCAGCGTAAAGGTAGTCACCTCCACTTACATGCGCGAGCTTTATGCTTTGCGTATGGCATTGGATCACTGGAAGCATTATCTTTTGGGACGCCACTTCAAGGTTTTTTCAGATCATGAGACTTTGAAGTGGATTAAGCAGCAAACTACCCTGTCCCCTACCTTGCTTCGCTAGTTCCATGAGATTGACATTTTTGACTTTGAATTAAGACATAAGAAGGGTTGTTATAACCGAGTAGCTGATGCTTTGTCTCGCCACCCCGAATACATGACTTGCCTTGTTAAGTCCTACGACCTCCGAAAGAAACTGAAGGAGGAGCTCGTAGAATACACCGCCAAGGATCCGGAACTCAGTTCCATCCTTGAGCGACTACGGGCTGATCCAGGCAGTCAGCCTGATTTTCACGAGTTTGAGGGACTGATCTTCCGCCGCTACGGGAACCATGACCGTTTGTGTGTGCCCAACCATGAGCCTCTCCGCACACACTTTCTGGACTTGGCTCATGGCCGGAGCGAGCACTTCGGCATGGGCAAAAACGTACGCTAATTTGCTGAGACAGTTTTATTGGCCTGGCATGAAAGGGACTGCTGAGAAATTTGTGGTTGAATGTCAAGTCTGTCAACGGATCAAACCTTGCAGACAAAAGCCCATGGGGCTACTCACACCCCTACCCATTCCTGATGGTCCCGGGGAGTCTGTCTCCATCGATTTCACCGACATGGGTAAGGTAAGCAAAAACGGGTATTCAAAAGTCATGGTGATTGTTGACCGATTTTCAAAATTTCTTAATCTGATCCCTTTGCCGCCCCACGCCCCAACAGATCTAGCGATTCGCGAATTCCAACAGAAATACCTGCTACAATTCGGAACCCCGAAGACTCTTGTGAGCGATCGGGATCCGCGTTTCATTAGCACTGAATGAAAGGATTTCACGTCTCACCTAGGAATCAAATTGTGCATGACATCTGGCCGACACCCTGAAGCCAACGGTTTGGCTGAGGAGATCAACCAGACTGTATTTCAACTTCTCCGCGGGTTGATTATTCCGGACCAAGAGACATGGAATGAGGAGCTGTATTCTGTTAAGGGGTTGTACAACAACTCCGTCCATTCTGCCACCGCCATGACACCCAACAGGTTGCATTACGGTTGGCAGATCCGTAATCCGCTCTCCTACTTATTCCCTGAGCAGCTAGCTGGCTTAACACCCGGCAGGCCCGGCTTGAGGGCTAAGTATGATCGCTTGCTCAAAGTTGTCTGAATTGTAATTGGGATTCAGGTAGGAAGCTATGTCCAAGCGACAGCATGCCATGATCCACCATGCAAACAGCATGCCATGATCCACCATGCAAACAAAAAGCGACGACCATCGGAGATTCAGGTAGGAAGCTATGTCTGGGTGAAGATGTCTGAATTCTCAGAAGAGGAGGGAGTCTCACGCAAACTCCTCCCACTCTACTACGGGCCTTGGGAAGTTTTGGATGTAATTGGGGAAGATCACATTGGCCCTTCGTACGTTGTAGACGTGCCAGCTCACATGCGCACATATCCCGTGTTCCATTAATCTAAATTGTATCTCCACCGTGACGTCGAGACATTCGATTACCGCGAAGATATGATCCCTCGTGCAATCAAGGGTCGCCACGAGATAGATAGAATCAAACAGCATGTAGGTAAGGGAAGAAACAGACAGTACCAGGTTCATTTTATGTATCGCCCGTTAGACGATCTGTACTGGATCTCCAAACAGGAAGTGCTACGCAGCGCACCGCGCGTTGTCAAAGCCTACGAGCAACAAATCGCTGCTAACGCCGCACCAAAGATCTCAGCAAGGCTCACTGCGACAGAGTATTCCAGGAACCTCTTTGCCTTGCTCGCTTACGATGCGTTTGGCGAGGACTCAGATTGAGTTACTCGCTCGAAGGGACCTCCCTCTTGAGGGGGGGGTAGTGTGATAACCCGTCCAAACACGGACTGAAACACACAGCTGATTTCTGAGTTTTGCTCATAGACTGAATGCCCTACTGAGTTCCCCGCCTGCTAAG